AATGGCAAGAGATCATTTGTGATTGTGACACACTCATTTTGGCTGTTCATATCTGGATTTCTAGCTAAAATCCAGAACGCTTCCAACGCTTCTCTTTTCATGAAAACGACGAGTCCGTCGAAACATTGGCCAAAATGATGATTTCCACCTAACAACCTCGAGGCAGAAGCAAAACTAACATTTTCAAGATCACTATTCATTTTCTCTTGGAGTTATTCGTTTGCTCAAGGATCACCTGAAAATTTGCCCGAGTTTCATTCCTGAAGGAACAGTTCACGATAGAAGTTCTGAATTTTTGAAGGTTTCTGAGACTTCTAACTGGGGTGAACCTGAAACCTCAAAGATAGCACTTGGGGCTTAGTTGGGTTGAAAAAAAACCTTGGCCTTATAGGGGCTACAAAACCGGCTTGGCCGACGTACACTACCAGAAGTGACCGGGGCGAATATTACGCTAATGTGGAAGACACCCAGACTGTTACAGGCACATAATCTTGTACAACTCCCTTTCTTACTACTTTTTGAAGCCTCATATTTCTTAGAATTCTCCGATAACTGTGCTTTTTTTTACCTTTTTGCTTTATTCTACACTGTAACGTCCACTCAACTTCCGTAGGTCATCCCACTTCAAACAAATCTCCAAGTGAAGTCAACTCAGCAGTCAGGTAACGCGTACTCAGAAAAGGAGATGCAACCTACAAAAGACGACTCAGATACAAACAAATAGCAATTGGAAAAGTGGGGATGAAAATTGACCGGAGTTGTCCTCCGTATTTTCCGGAAAGGATTTTCTCGATAGTCTCAAAAATTGTCGCTCGTTGACCGTACTTGGATTGGTTGGTCTGGAGTAGACTACTTTCAGTTAATTGGGATGAATTTTACGTCTAGTTGTTCGGTTGGATAGTAGTCAGAACTGTTTTGTCTTTTCCCTCCTTTCAACTTCCGATTCGATAAAAAGCCGAGTGTCAATGGTAGAGTCGGGCGTAGGGCTTGATTCTCCCGCTTTGGCTAATTTCGAAAAGAGTTTTGACCGGATGGCGGTTTTCGGAGAAATCTAGGTTCTTAAGAAATTTCATTCACGAACGATCAAAAAAGTTATGCTTACGATTGCTCCCATTGCGTCCTACTGGTGCCATTTTTGCATGGAAGGGTAGAGAGCTCAGTGGCTTTGAGATTCAGGATCATGGCAAACTGGGAAGCTGGCAAGCTCGTTTCCTTATACATTTCACCGAAGTTGATCACGGTGCACGCTTGTTCTCCTTGATCATACCAAGGGTATCGAGCTGTAAATGAACGTTATCATCGGGAGATCTTCAGGGGATGGCATTAGCTCCTGTCTTCTGGTTGAGAATGGATAATGGAAGCACACCTTCTCCATTGCTCTCCATTGCTGTAGGAACGGCTCTATGCCACCTCAAAGCCTCCAAAGGCAGAAGAATACTACCAACGCAGTACGTTGACTTTTTTATACAGCCACTCAACTTCTTTCCTTCTCATAAGATGTTTGTGATTTGGTGCCGCGAGACAACTATCAATTTGTTCCTGTAGCTTGGTGCCGCGGTGAGACAACTAACGAATGGTTCATTTTTTCAGTTTCAGATAAGAATTGTAATTGTTTTGTATTTCTGACGACCCAACTTCAGTTATTACATTTGTTTCTGTTCTTCACGTTCCTACTGATTTTCATTGCAAAGTATAAACGGCCCGTCGAAAAACATTCAGCGAAACAAAAAATCCCATATATTATAAGCCCCTTGCAACACATGTGCTTCGTCATCTGGTTCGAAATGTTTTTTGGAGGAATTTTTCACTGTTATTTGTGTTTGGGAAATTTCAGTCGCAATATGCTGGTCCATCTGTCTTTCGGGAGATAATTCGTGTCTGGATGTTCCATTCAATTATTCATTGACGTCAGACTTATTTACGAAATTCCAATTTTTGATAAATTGCATGTTCCCATGCGAAGTAGCAATTTGTTCAAAAATTTGGCAGAATAGTATTTTTTTGGCTCGTTTCATCTTTTATTCATGGTTTCAATGGCAGGATCATTGGCATTTGTCAACACAATTGCTTGTCACTTGCTGTCACTTGCAGTCCCTTCATATGCAGACAAGGCCTTCGTACACAGGCTAATAGGGAATGGGAGCTGCTCCTCCTCTTGAAACACGTGAAAATGGAATGTTTCTGTCCTGACCTAAAACGTTCGTAGCTCAGAATAGTTAGTTTTGGCTAACGAAGAATCATACAGGTTACTGAGGATGCCTCCTGCCTGACTCTTCCCCTCTTTCCTCCTCTGTGAGTTTTCTCACTAAAAGAAACCCCAAAAAGATAATGGAGGTGGAAGGGGCAGAGTAGTGGTTCCGAGGCCCACAAGCGGGACATTGTCTGAATGTATATTTCACAAAATGAAGTTTATCTTCGTGATACAGCTCTTTACGGAATGGCCTAATGTGACTAACTCGGCTCTTCAACTTACACCTTTTTGGGCGAGCTTATATCCTCATCGAATCCCCTTTGGCCTTGACAGCGGGGCGAAGGTTTGTCCTGACTGAGTAATTACTTCTTTTAAAGTCAGCCTTTCCAAATGCTCTGCAGGAAGGCTCTGTTGGGAAGGCTTTGGGAAAAGTGAGACATGTAAAGCTCTTTTAGATAAATTTTTCTACGGAAGTCAAAGAAAGACTAGTCTCGAAGGGTTGAGAGTCTTGTTTAGTCAGGCCCTGAGGGAGTCATATGGTGCAGTGTCCCAGAGAGACTTACAGGATGCTGTATGCAGAGGCACAGCACAGGATACAAATGGTCTCGGAGATTTCTTGTGACTAGGAATTTATGGTCTCTGGATGGACTACATAGGGCGTTTTCCGGTCGAAGAGCAGTCCAGGTGGGGAGCAATAAGGGCTCGAAAACCTGTTCTGACGCCATTCGGCCCTTATAACTCCCAAGTTAGGATGTATTCGGCGGGTTTGTAGAGGCTAATGTCATTCGAAATGATGCACGTTTGTTGTAACTAACTAACTATAACTGGATAGCTATAACACAGTGCTCTAGAAGCGACTAAAATCTCGTCCGGACGCTCTTTTTTTCCTCATAATCTCGACCAACCTCAGTGATTAGATCCAAAAAGTTTTTCCCTATATTTCAGAATTCTATCAGATTTTCTCAATTTTTTTCACCACGGACAAGCTAATCTGCACCAACACTTCCACATTTCCGCCTATCCAGCAAAGGTACTTGAAATCATTACGGACAATACCCTCAA